ATACATTGTATATTGACAAAATAAAAATTTAATGAAAAAAAATAAAAAATAATAAAAAATAATAATAAAATAAAATAAATTACTTTCTATCAATGCAAATTTTCTGGTTTCCTTATTTTTAGAGGTCTTATTTTTGCCAATTCAGTGATCATTTGATATTCTCTTTTCTATCAGAGGAGATAGAAAAATCACTAAAGAAAAATCACTCTGACATCCCAAAAGTTGATCACAGAGTCTCATATCATACTTATCCTTCTAGCAACAGAATAATGGTGGCTTTTGTTGTTCAGTCTACAGTGCATGAATACTTGAAGCTCCTTTTCCTACTCTAGCAAGGCATAGGCGCACATCTGGTGCACATATACTTCATCCTCCCTCCCAAAATACATCCCTGCTGAATCTGCACCTTCAAAATTTAAGAACTGAAAAGAGAAAAAATTCTCTTAGCACAATTTAAACATATCATGACTAGGAATAGTCATTCAACAAACATTTACTATCTACTGTTTGCCAGGCACTTAAATTTAAACTAAAAACAAACCAAGCAAACATAAAATAGTAGCTACCCAATTGTCAAAACAGCCCTGGGAAATTGTTAGCCCTGGGAAAGGCGTATATGAAGACCATTTAAGGAAAAGGAAGAGGTAAAGTTGGAAGGTTGGTAAGAACTAATAAACAAAAACTATTTGGGGCACAAATTTGCAAGCTATAGAAATGTTGAAATTCTTGACAGAATTAAGTTATTAAGTGGCCTGAGAACAGGAGAGAGTCAAGAATATTTTCACTTTAATCCCATCTTCTTCTCACAGAGATGCTTTGAGAGTAACCCATTAATATTTGCAAAGTGCTTAGTGATAAACTCAAAGCAGAATGTTAGTCACAATCTAAAAGCAGTCACGCAGAGTGCCAAAAAAGGTCACTGAGTAAACACACAACTAAAATTCTGTCTTTTAAGTAATATTAGCAAAAGTTGATATCAAACATTAATATAAAACATTATTTTAAAACATTGTTTTTAAAAAATTACTTAAGATGAAAAACAGCAACCCAAGTTCTTTGCAAATAAAGAAAATGTCACACAACTTACGATATTTACTGTGAATTTCATCTATTTCATCTTCTGTTTGCTCCTTTGTAAAAACCATTACCTAAAATGTAAAAAAAAAACTTAATAAAAATTCCTCCAAAAAAGGAAGTTGTACAAACTATAAAATCTCAAATGTGGGTGTTTAAAATGCAGGAAAATAATCTCTCATCTCTGTTTTATATAGACCTAGGAAGTATAACTCCCATATACTTCTCTTGAATATGATAAATAATACACATTTTACTCATTACTTTTTTCTTAGTAGAAAATGCAACATTGACTCCATTATAATATATAAAGTATTAACAAAACAATCGATTAAATTTCCTGTTTTCAATATTTAATTTTCCACATTCATTAATGCAACAGGTAATAATACTTGAAACTAGAAGACTGAAGACATCTAGCTGATCATTAATAAGGCAGATAATCTTATCTGCCTTCTCTCCTTTCCAACCTAATTTCGCCAGGTCATAATAGAAAAATAACATACAGAGAAAATGCAGTAGTACAAGACTTAGTATGTTAAATTTTTAGTTCCACTTTTTCAAATCTCTTTCCTAAAAGATCAGAAATCTACTTATACAATTCATTACAGTCCCAGTCTTACAGTTAGCATACAGGTAATAATAAACTCAATGTAAATCCCATTTTTTTTTCCTACTATCTGATTATAAACTTACTTCCCTAAAATCATGACTTTCCTTACAAACATGTTACCAATGGTCTAGGGGAAAAAATGTCTGTTTGAAAGAGCCCAAAACACTTCCCTCAGTGTCATAGGACACAACGACTATTTTTTTCTTTGGTATCCCTTCCTCAAGTTTTGGACCACCAAGCTAGAGGAAGGCAACAGTGAAAAATCTTAGGTATCTGATTCCCTCAAATACTCAACAGAATACTCAATCCTCACAAACTCTTATAATTACTTAATATCTCCATAGGTATAATCATACAATTGCAGAATGCCAGAGCTAAAAAGGGATCTTAGAGGTCACATAGTTCAACCCCTTAATTTTACAGATAAAGACCGTAGGAGTCACAGAAATTAAATAGTTTATCAAATGCAATCAGCAGAGAAAGGACGAATACAAGAGGCTGGCCAGTTAGCTCAGTTGGTGAGAGTGCAGTGTTACAACACCGAGGTCAAGGGTTCAAATCCCTGTATTTGCCAGCCACCAAAAAAAAAGTGTTCCAGAGAAAGGACAAATGCCAAAGCTACCTGATGCACAGGCGTAGTCTTTTTCTAAAGGACTCTAGCTCATGAACAAACTCTACTTTGGATTGCATTTTGTGCTAGGAGACAGCTAAATACAATCAAATATTATGCTAAAAATGAGCTGCAAGTAAATCATAATATACTAAATGGAAATGTGTTCTAGTACATTTCCCACTGAACAGATTTAGTAATAGCTTGCTTTAATTTTAGTAGGGGATTAAATTTTTCTTTCCTTCATTTCTACCCATATACCAAAATAGACATCAACATACATTTTCATTGAGTTTACTAGCTTCAAGACGCATCCTAGTCTTCTCCGTACTTTCAATTTCTTGAACTATTTCAGCAGCTATTAAAAGAAGAACATATAATCACTGTTAATTGCATGTTTTTCATCATTGTACTATAGTTATGTAAGTTAACATAGAGGAAGGTGAGTGATGGGTATATACTTGAACTATTTCAGCAGCTATTAAAAGAAGAACATATAATCACTGTTAATTGCATGTTTTTTATCATTGTACTATAGTTATGTAAGTTGTTAACATAGAGGAAGGTGAGTGATGGGTATATGTGAACTCCCTGTCCTATTTTTGCAGTTATTTGGCAAATCTAGTATCATTTCAAAATAAAAGTTTAGAAAAATAAGAACATAAGGTTAAAACACTGAACTCTAACATTTGCACACAAAGTTCAAAATACAGAAGAGTAAAGTCAAGTCATTTTGCTTTCTCCTTTGAATATATGGGTATATACAGCAGTCCTAGTGGAATACAAAAATTAATTTGTTAGTGTGACTTCAATTCTTAGGGGATGTCTGCTCAAACTCCAAATGCAGTACAACAGGCTCCTTTTCAAGTACAGAGAAAAGGCTACAAATACCAGGGGAGTCCTTGCCTCCAGAACCTTTGTCTGTAGGTGTAGCTACCACTTCACACACATCAAAGAGATCTGGAATACACCCTGTCACACATTAAATGACTTTGAATGCAAACAGCAGAGAATTTGCAAATGCTATCTTTCTGCCTCCAAAGTCAACATATTAAAGCTAAAATACATATGTATGGAATAAAGATCTACAATCCCTTATGCATATTTATACATGAAAAAATACCACGTTTGCAATTTGCTTCAAAATAATCCATGGGGGGAGGGGTGCAAATGGTAGATAATACATTAGGATGGTTTGATAATTGCTTAAACTGGACAGTAGGTATATGGGGAAATCAACTACTCTTTTCTCTACTTCTGTATATGCTTGATATTGAGATAGGAGGTGCTCAGTTTCCCTGAGTTCAGGTTACAGGACACACCTCTGGGTTTCAAGCCATTCCCCAAGGTCTCAGGGCCCTCTTCTAGGCCCTGCCCTAGAGAAGAATTACCATTGCTAGTTGAACCTATTCTCAGACCAACATGAGACCTCAGGGAGCTGATTTATACAAATCCAGTAGTGAGGCATGCTCAGTAGAAAGGGGTTATATACCCCTAATGGCCAAGCATGCTCAGTAAAGTGGAATTTATGTTCATTAATAGCATAAATATGTATTAGATAATGAGACTATAAAAGTTGAATCCCAGCAGAAGGCGTGGCTGTTGCTCACCAGGGCCAACCTGCACTTCACCGGCTGAGGTGGTTATGCTTTCTTTTGTGTTAAACTTACTTTCAGCAAGCAGCTGCTCACTCTCTTGAGCCATCCTGTGCTCTGTACTAGACTTTAAGGGAGTATTTCTTACTTTTGTATTGGACCTGGTACAGGCCCTACTGGGTCTCTGGGGCTCGGACGTACTCTCTCTGTGAAATCTTTATCTCTTCTTTGTTACATTAAACCTCTTCTCACTTTCTACTGTGACTCTGCTCTTGAACTCTTTGCTGTGGCAGACTTAAGAACCTGGTAAGAGGACAGGATGGGTTAAGGCCAACTACCAGGCCTTCCCAGACCACTTCTTCTCCAGCATCAAAATAATCTCTGTAAAGTTTGTTTTTTGGTTTTTTAAACTCACAGATCTTAAGAGAATCATTAAGAATGCAATTGCCTCAATTTAAAATTTGTTTCCCAAGCACTGAGAGGTACCTGTTGCCTCCCTAATACTGTAAAACTGGTAGAAAACAACGTAAACAATATCTCTCTCTGTGAGCATGAACAGCTAGCAGTTCTCTTTTCCAAACTTACTGAGTCATGGTTTAACAGGAAAGCAAAGGGACCATTTGCATTCTGTCCAATCCATTAATGCATGTGTCATTCAAGATAGAGAACATCTGGCATGACCTCTACTAAGGAATTAAGGAAACTATATAAGGATAGGGTATAATTTAGGGGGCTTAAATCTTCAGAAAGACTTCTGATTTTGTTTAGAATGTAGAGAGCTAGAAATAGTGTCACTCTCACCTTAGTGACAAGAAAAAGCTGGATAACCTACAAGACTGTAATTTCCCTTGAATCCAACACAGCTAAAGTCAAAAGGCAACCAAGTAGCCTGAAACTTAAGGGAAGATGGGTGCCCTAGAGGAGAGGGTTCATGAGCACTGGCTGACATAGGCAGTGCACAGGAGAAAGACTGATACCAACCTACCTTCGGGTAAAAGCTCAGCTAAACTTGATGGATTGCAAAAAGGCAAGCTACCATGAAAGTATAAAAACTCTGGGAGACTTAGACATAAGGAACACTGCACCGATTTGCAAGCTGTTTCTACAGACTTCGTTCGGTACTCACAAGAATACCCAGTCTCTTTGTCTCTCAGTGCGGAAGGGCAGGAAATTAGAAAAAGTCTCCCTCTGGATCCAGGCTTGGAAAAGATGAACACCCACTGCAGGAGAGACATGAAGCCCCAACCAGATCTTTATCACTGAACAAACAAAAGCATCAGGCCACTGAGTAAAGGACAGCAAAACTGCTGTCCTCAGATCACAAGTAAATACCCACTGTTGCTGGAGAAATGCACAGAAAAAAAAAAAAAAAAAACCTCTATCCCTGCAGGAGGGTCGGAAAACCACCCTGGGCCCAGACCACTAGAGGACCCCTGCCACTGGGGGAGAGGCAGAATCACTGAGAGCCCCAGTCCAGGATCAAAGGGCCCGCCTACAACAGGGGTTAAATCAGAAAACAGAAAATGGCCCCCTTGCTCCCTACCATGGAGCTAGCATTTTCCAAGTGACAAGTAATAGCAATCTACCACCAGGAGAGAAACGAACGTGGAGAGAGATGCTCTCTGAGGCAGAGGCTCACAAGGAAAACCTATGTTGTGAGTGATACAGGTACATTAAAAAAAAAAAATCTGGCAACTCAGCCACCAACCTAAGCACAAGGAAATTCTCAAGGAATGTAAAATTGTTGATAGACTGAGGGCAACCATAGCAACAATAAAACCCAAACCAAGTTCAACTCATGAAGAGATTTACTAAACTCCAAACAATAAAGACCTATCAGAAGAACAGACATGTCCATTACTAGGAATAAATCCATTTACTTCAGTGTTTAGATTCTTACATATAGAGTCTGGCTTTCAACCAAAACTTATAAGATACGTGAAAAAGCAAACAAACAGCAATAACAAAACCAAACTCTGATATAATGTAGATGTTAGAACTATCAGATGTGGTTTTAAAATAACTATGATTAACATGCTAAAGGATCTAGTGGAAAAGGTAAACAATATGGATGAACAGATGGGGCATTTCAGTAGAAATTTTCATTAGAAATTACTTCAGCAGCAATTCTTTCTTTTAGAAAGAATAAAATAGAAATGCCAGATATTAAGAAAAACCCACCAAGCACAGTAACAAAGATAACTTGACTCAGCTAAGGAAAGCACTGGTGAACCTGAAATGGGATTGATGTTATTCAATCTGAAACACAGAGAGAAAAAAGAAAGAAAAAAGAAAGAAAAAAAAAAAACACACAGAGCATCTAAAAGCTATGAGACAATATCAAAAAGCATAATATACATGTTTCATCAGAAACTATTCAAGCCAGAAATGACATCTTTAAAGTATTTAAAAAAAAAAAGCCTGCCAATCCAGAATTCTATACCAATGAAAATATCTTTCAAAAGTGAAAAAGAAATACTTCCTAAAACAAATACAAGTTGAGAGAATATACTATTAGCAGACCTTCACTTCAAAAAGTGTTAAAGAAAGTTCTTCAAGCAGAAGAAACAGAAAGAAACTCATCTCTATAAGAAGAAATGAAAAATGGTAGAAATGGTAAACATGAAGGGCTTTTTCTTATTTTCTTAACTACTCTAAAAGATTACTGTCTGTTTTATGGGAAAACAATAGCAATGTATTGTGTTAATCACATATGTAAAAGTAAATTCATGACAAAAATAACACAAAGAATTAGCAATTGAGAGTATACCGCTATGTTTCTTATACTACAAGGGAAGATGTATAATATTATTTGAATGTAAATTGTAACTAAAGATGTATATTGCAAAACCTAGAGTGACCACTAAAATTTTTAAGAAAGAAGTAAAATAGTAAGCCAACTGTACAAATAAAATGTAATAATAAAAAAATGCTCAATTAATCCAAGATAAAAAGAACAAAATGCAGGTGGAACAAAGAAAAAAACTAGCAAGGTGTTTTTAAATTTAAAACCACTGCATCGATTCTTACGTTAAATGTAAATTGTCTAAAAGCACCAATTAAGAAACAGAATGTCAGGCTGGATAAAAAAGAAAGACCAACTATATGTTATCAAAAAGAACCTATTTTAAATTTTAAAAATAGGTAAAAAAAAAAAATAAGTTTATGGAAAGACTTGTATTGTGTAAACACTAATGAAAAGAAATACTAATGAGTTAGCTATATTAATATGAAGCACAACAGGATTCAGAACAATGAATGTTATCAGGAATAAAGAGGGAAATTATATAATAATAAAGAAGTCAATTCACCAAGAAAAGATAACAACCTAAATATGTTTGTACCTGAACAGGACCTTAGCCAGATAACAGCCATCTTTGGGGTAACTAAGACCAAGCAGAAAATTTCAGGAAACTAGGAACTGATAATCATCAATTCCTTGAGCTTAGCAAAGAAAATGAGAAACTGACTGTATGGCTGAAACTGCCCAGAGATGAAATCATGCCCCAAATGGATCCTTCTCAAAAGTTTATTTCTGCTTATCTCTCATAACACCCTCTTATATTGATTTACTTTAGATGTTTCACACATACAATTAAGAATTGAAACTAACCTTTGTTTTTCTTACCTTTCCTATTCAACTGCAAACAAAGGAATTCCAAGAGAAAGGCAAAGCACCTTAGCTGATTATTAACTCACTCTCTCACGTAAAGGAAAATTGCATCCACATTAGTTAGAAGTATGAGTCAGGAATTTTTATGTT